CCCCCCCACAGCACCCCCACCCTCTCCTACCTACACACACACACCCCTGAACTTTTCTGTACTATTCTGTAAATGTCCACCAATAGGCATAATTTAATTTATTTTTTTGTATACCTTTATGTGCATTTCTTTTTCTGCACTGTATGCCACAACAAATTCCTTGTAGGTGAAAACCTGATGTGAACCAAAAGCCTGGTCTCAAAAAGTCAAAAGAGTGTTTTTAAAAGCACACAACGTTTTCTATTCTCCAGCAACAGGAAGGAGAAATACAACATAAAATTATATAAGAGTCCAACTACTCAGCACAGCTGGTTTTACATTATCCAGCTCATGAGGAAGGGATGAGAAAAAAAATATTGCTTTGGTTTTTTTAATTTATAGTTAAAACAAGACAGTTTTATCCTACCAAAAGAAGACGAAGTTGACGGTTACAAGAATCTGGGTCTTTTTCCACAATTTTAATGTAGCCACTAGATGTCACAATTAAACATGTGCATGGTTGAAGTCGAGTATTGGGGCAGTGGTGGCTTAGTGGTTAAGAAAGCGGACTTGGATCCAAAAGGTTTCAGGTTTGAACCAGCTGCCAAGTTATCACTGAGGTGCTCTGAGCATGGCACTGTCCTCACACACTGCTTCCTGGGCAGCTCAAAGCTGCCCACTGTTCATTTTGGTGATGGGTTAAATGCAGAGGTCACATTTTGTTGTGTGCAGTGGTGTGTGTCACAATGACAAGTAGTTCATTTTCCTTCCTTCTAGTAATCTTTGAAGTGAGTATTTACATAACACTAAATTCAGTTTAATGGTGAAACATTATTTGAATTGTGTAGGACATACAGACTCATGACTTGGATTTTAGTTTAGACATGATGCAACAACTTAAGCTTAGGTGTACTTGGACAGTTTGTGGATATATTTATATTTCCTTCTCTCTCTCTCTCTCTCTCACAGGATACATGTCTGATCACTGTGCTGGCATTGTCAAATGAGAAGGTAAAGTATGAAAAGCAACTCCTGAGATCCAAAGGTATATTAACAGACGCTAACCTATTTAATTCTATTTCAACCAACTAATATCCATCCATCCATCCATTTTCATCCGCTTATCCGTTACCGGGTCGCGGGGGCAGCATTCGCCACCCAAATCACATTGCACCGTACCAAACCTTCCTGCGGGTGGTGAGTCCACTGGAAGGTACCAACTGCCCTAACCGGGATTCGAACTTGCCCAGGAGGTGAACCCTGGGGTTCCACACCAATGACAGAGACATTGCCTCTGGGCCAAAGCGCCACTCCAACTAATATTATGAACTATTTTTTTTTTTATTTCTGGTTCTTCTTAGTGAATAATTCCAACATTCGCATGTTTACATTTACAGTAATACTCCATAGTTGAGTTAACCATAATGGCTAGCATATGAACGCTAATGCCAGTTACGATGAAACAAAGCAATCTAAGTAAACAGAACTTTGCCCTCTTGCGTGGCATGTAAAACACTACCAGGTTGAACGCAGACAGAATTACCTATTCCATGTCACTGGGCCTACATAAGGACCCTGGAGAAATTGGCAGGGATTTTGTAGAAGGTATTTGGTTTCATAGTACCACACACACTGCCAAATCCAAACTATTGATGGTTATTGATTGTCTGGCTGTAAATCACTGAAGCACCCTCAGGTCTTTGAGCAACTCCTGAATGGGGAGTTATGAGGTACAGATGAGTGATTATAGGGTAATTTACAGCAGCCCCTGGCCAAGCATCTGAATGGGGGACATGCCTGAACCTTTGGTTTAAAGAATATTTTGTGATTTAATCTTCTTGACGCCTAGGCAGAAGAGGGAATTGTGCAAGTTCACTTGGCAGGCAGTCCAGGGGCCGACATCTGGAGAGCATTACGTGTGCAGAAGACGTGCAGCCAAGCTTTGTGAGCAGCTTACCCATGGATATCAAACTACGTGTCTTTAACAATGTCCGATTTGTGGGTGCTTGCGTGTTTTCCCCACTTCTTAAACGACAGGTTAGAGACTAGAATCTGGCTTGCATTCATACAAGAACAGTTGGAGCATTTCGATGTGATAGCATTGAGAAAAATTAGACTGATAGATGAGACGAGCAGGCCTCCCTTTATTCTGGACAGGTCAGTCTTTGAAGGTAGAGTCCTGGATAAAGCAGGTCCTGTGAGATGCCACGTTAATTATTTGACGCAATTCTACTACACACAGTGATTCTGAGAAACCTCG